CCACGGTGCGAGTCCTGGACCTGGTGGCTTAAAACTCACGCCGGGCGCGTGTGCGTGCATGCCCAAGATCCCAAGAGGAGAATGGAGGAGAAGGGATTGCGGCGTGGCCATCCCTCCTGGGGGGGTGATTTCTTGCTTTCTGTCTCTGTCTCTCTCTGTCTCTCTGGCGAGCACACGCGCCCTGTAGCAAAAACCTCTCCCCCCCAAAAAAAAAGAAAGAAAGAAAGAGTCTAGCATAGCACTGGAATGTTTCACAAATATTAGTGATGAGTGTTACTATTTTGAAGGTCAAAAACTGAAGCCCTGGGAGAAAAGACTTGCCCAAGGTCACGTAGATTCAAGGTTAAAACTGGATTAGAAACCAGGTCTCTGCTTCCTTATCCAGTGGTCGACTGCACCAGGCCTGTGTTATTTTCTTTTTCTTTTTTTTTAAAGAATTATTTTATTTATTTATTAATATTTTACCAGAGAGGGAGAGAAAGAAGGAAAGTGAGAAAGCAAGCCGCCAGGTCTGGGAATAGAACTGTGGTGGTACATGTGTGAATCCAGTGCCCTTAACCTCCACGCCACCTGCCGGCCCCAGCCTGTGTTTTTTTCTGACTACTCAGAAGTGTCCTCTCCGACCTGGGAGTACCTCGGGCTGGGCGGCCGGGGCTCAGTAGCCGGAAGTGAGAGAACAGTCTTCACAGTTCCACTGGTGCCTTCTTTCCCCGCGGCTGTTCTTGCTGGAGCCAGCTTCCACCTCAAGTACTCCGCTCTCCCTCTAGAACTGTTTAGCTGTTGTCCTGGTTTCTCCTTCTCACTAAATATCTGGGTTTCTGATCATTTCCTTTATTTCCCAGATGGACTCGTTTGCATTTTCCCCAGTTACATCCCTTATGTTCTCTAATCCAGATTTCTAGACTCTGTAGGGGAGGAAGAAATTTTCTTTTTCTCTCCAGAGATTTTAAGTAAATAGATTTTTTCCCCTGCTCATCACTTCTGTGCAGTAACGATTCTGTTAGGTTTTGATGTTTTGGTCAGGGGTGCTGAACAAGAACAGCACTGCAAAACGGGTTTTTCCGAGTGTTTGTTAGTGATGTCTTAGGCCACTGTAGACATGACAGTTTTAAAACATGTAACAAAGGCTCAGCATTTGCTTGTCTTATCCGGTAAACATTGCTTAAAAGAAGGGAAAAGACTCCCGAAAACATCAGCGGCACCCTCGTCTACTAAAGAAATGACTGCTGATGCTTCTATAATGCCCGTAATTTCACAGGTACACCGAAAGACACAGTGTACCCCAAATAAGAGCCCTCTCTGGGGCTGGCCGGTGACATGGTGGTTAGGGGCGTTGGGTTCCCACATGGCTGACCACAGTTCAAGTACCAGACCTGGTGGCTTGCTTTCTCACTTTCCCTTTCTCTCTTTCTGTCTCTGGCTGGGCAAATTAAAAAAAAAATAATAACAAATGGCATTAAATAAATAATTCTTAAACAAACAAACAAAAACAGCCCTCCCTACCTAATTTAGGTGCATCTTCTGATAGAAAGAAAAATCAGAAGCCTGAATATCGTCTAAGTAAATACAATATAGCAAGTGTCAATAAAATCAAGGGAGCAAGAAACCTATTTATTGGGGCTGGCAGGTGGCATGGTGGGTAAGGGTGCTGGATTCCTACATGGCCGACTGCGGTTCGAGACCTGGACCTGGTGGCTTGCTTTCTTACTTTCCCTTTCTCTCTCTCTCGTTCTCTGTCTCTGTCTGGACAAATTTAAAAAATAATAATCATAACAAATGGAATTAAATAAATAAATAATTCTTTATATTGACCATAACTTAAAAAAAAAAAAGAAAAGAAACCTATTTATCATAAACTTATAAGGGCAAGAAGGAGTTTTAGATATAAACAAATATATCTACTATGAGACCCAGTGACACCCCAAGTAATGCAAGTAGCTTAGGATCTTTCATTCTCAGAAATTCTGATGAGAAGGTCCTTAGAATTTCTTTTAAGAATTATTTATTTATTTATTTTTTATTATTTTTCTTCTTCAACTTGACCAGAGAGAGAAAGCTGCCAGCTCCAGAACTCAAATCACAGTCAACCATGTGGGAGCCCAGAACCTTAACCACCACTCCACGGGCTAGCCTCACCCTTAGATTTCCTGAAGGAAGATTCTAACAGGGTTAGTATCCCTTTCTTGCTCCTTATATAATATTTATTTCTGCCTTTCATCCCTTGAAGGCAAGATTCCAACTAAAATTTATTGCTGCCATTGGGTTAAAGTCTTTACGGTTTCTTTGGAGATGGCTTTGTAGCAGCAGCCCCATGCCCCAAGGTGTTCTTGGCGGAGGTGGGGGCATGGGGTGGTGGTGGCTAAATCTCAAAGGGTTTCTGAATCCATAGTTTCTGCTGAGATTTTCCCTCAGCTGTGGTAGGGGGAATGGGTGAGCAGATGGGAAAAGTTGGGAAGGAGAGGAGAGGATGCTCCTGGGGGGTTGGGGAGGTGTTCAGTGTAAGTTCCACAATTGAACCAGCAGGGGAGCAGGACTATGAGGCAGCTTTGCAGCTCTAAAGGAAGTCTCCTGTAGAGCACAGGGGGAAACATCGGCCTACAGCAGCACTAGGGAGAGTTAATGTGTCTCAGGAGGGAAGGATGCCACCAACACAGAACCTCTAAATATGGGCACAGTGGGGTCCCAGCAAAGTAGTGACTCGGGGTGTATTCTACCCAAACCTCAACATGTCTGTCTGTTGGGGATGTTTCATAACACGTGGAGCACTGATTTGACCTCAAGTCTTCCTTTTTTTTTCTTCTTTACAACAGGTGGAAAGGCAAGTTTAAATCTTGATTGTTTTTTCTTTTCTTTTCTTTCTTTCTTTCTTTCTTTCCTTTTTTTTGGAGAGGTTTTTGCTATAGGGCACTCACCAGACAGACAGAGAGAGACAGAGAGATAGAAAGTGAGAAATCGCCCCCCAGGGGGGATGGCTGCAATCCCTTCTCCTGCATTCTCCTCTCGGGATCTTGGGCACGCACGCACGCACACGCACCCAGTATGAGTTTAAGCCACCAGGTCTAGGACTCGAGCGTGGTCAGCTACATGGGAGTTCAGCGACATAGCCATTACGCTAACTACTGGCCCCATGATTGTTTTTTCTATAGGGCATGTGCCCTTGCCAGAGAGAGAGAAACAAAGTGAGAAATCACCCCTCAAGAGGAATGGTCACGCCACAGTCACTTCTCTATGGTCCTCTCAGGATTTGAGGCATGCACACGCACGTGCCTGGTGTGATTTCCAAGCTGCTGGTCCAGGACTTGAACCGCACAGTTGGCCACGTGGGATCTAGCACCTTAACCACTAATCCACCTGTTTAGTACCACAATTGGCTTTATCACTACAAATATACTATCCTAGAGCTTTTCATGGCACATGGCTCATAAACATAGTCTGAGGTTTACCTAGAGTTCCTGAGCTTTGGTCATATTTGGCCACTTGCAAGAAGTGCCACTGCACTCATATATAATGATGATAATACACACGTTAAGTTCTTCTTTATGCAAGGTATTTTCCCAAGGGTTTTACACAGACCAACACATTCTCAACAACCTAATGAGGTAGCTAGTATGCTCATCCCCATTTTACAGATGGGGAAACTGAGGCATAGAGCAATAAAATAAAGCAACCAAAGTCCCACCGCTAAGTGATGGAGCCAGGACGTAGTGTCAGAACCTCGTGCTTAATCTTACACTACGTTGTTGGGTGTATCAACTGTTTGCTAATTGAATAGTTGATCCCTAAACCAGGATTCCCAACTCTCCCAGCATTCACATATGTAGTCATGCTACTGACAGGTAGGTCCCAAACTCGCTTGAGCCTATGAATTACCAGAACGCTCGCAAAAGCTAATGTTCCCAGGCCCTAGCTCAAATCTACTTACAGACACATTTGGAAGACCTTGATTTCATGCAGTGAGCACCACCACCCATGAGCGTGAGACCCGTGTTTGTCCTAACTGTGCCTCAGTCTCTGAGATTCTGGGCAATGGCATTTCTTAATACATTGCTTGCTTTATTCTGTGCCTCTCACTTACTAGACTATAAGAATATGTACATGTTTTTTTCCTCAGAAAGAACAACTGGGGGCCAGCAGGTGGCGTGGTGGTTAAGGGCCCTGGATTCCCACATGGCTGACTGCAGTTCAAATCCCGGAACTGATGGCTTGCTTTCTTGCTTTATCTCTCTCTCTCCTTCCCTCTCTGGTCAAATTAAAATAAATAAAGTTAAATAAAATAATTATTAAAAAAAAAAGAAAATCTGTTGCTTAAAAAACATACTATCTCCTTAAGACGATATGCATATATTAACAGGTCAGTTAACTATCATATACATTTTTCTAGTTGGCCTCCCTTGAAGTGAAAACCTAAGCGCCTGGTCCAGACCTGTCCTCCAGCCTCTCCTCCAGGTGACACAGATACAAACCCCAACCCAGGCTGCTTTCTGACCGACATTAGCTCTCTCCCTCTGGGAGCTCGGATCTGCTGTCAGCTCAGCCCAACAATGAGAAACTTTTTTCGCCTCTCCCTCAGGGGAACCTTCACGTTTATCCAATTCATTCTCTTGCAACCCAACTCTCCAGAAAGAAAAGGGGGGAAAATCCCACCCCTAAGAGACGGTCTTCAGGTCTGAGAACGTTACTTAGCAACGGCACAAAGACCAGTGAGCAAAAGGGGACCTGGGGAGAAAACTCTTGGGTGGGAAGACACAGGCAGTTTGAAAACTCCATTTCATCCAGAGAAAAACAAGGAAAACACAAACAGAATCGATCCCCAGAAAAAACAAGTGTGGCTTCTCCCCAGCGCGGGTCACCTCTCTACTCCCTGCCTCCGAACTCCTTGAAACCCCCAATAGCCAAGTCCTCCCCTGGGGCGAGTCTGTAGCCTGGGTGCCCTCCCCTTGCCCTGGCCTGACCCAGACCGGCTTGGACTCAGGGCCCCCCACCCCTCCCCAGGTACCCACCGTTTTCAGACGCGCTGGGACCTTCACAGTCCGAGATTAACTGTTGGGGTTTCCGCTGCTTTCGCCGAGACATTCCCGGGTAGAGAGAGGTGGGAGAGGGAGGGGCGACGCTCGCTCAGTCTCAACCGGGGTGACCTGGTCCGGCTCCACCTTGGGTCTGAAGCCAACTGATGGGTCTTCCCCAGTGCGGATCACTGTGAAGCAGAGATGTTCTCCCTTCTCAGAGACAGACAGACTCTCTCTCTGATTCTCTGTTCCTGACTCTCTCTCTCTTTCTCTCTCAATCTCTGCAAGTCTTTAAAGGGGAGACGCCCCCTTTTTTTTCTTCAGCTTCTTCCCTACGCTTCTGCAGCTCCCATTGTAAAAGCAAAAATCCTAATCTTTCCGCACACTCTTTTCTTTTGTACTGCGGAGGAAAGGATTTAACCCTCTCCTCCCTGTGAGGGCTCCGGGCCTCTCCCTGAGCTGTCTGTTCTGAGACTGTCCCTCGCTTGTTTATTCTAACTCTTCTTGCAGGATCTCACAGTGTTTTTTTAAATTCTTTCATGATTCTACACCTCTCTGGTTGATCACGGGGCTGCTTCTGAGATATAAACGAAGAACTTTCTGGTTTATCCTGATTATAAGGCCAAGAAGTTAATTCCTCCCAGGAGAAAATTGAGACATGAAAGGTGGCAAAAAGTTTTTGAGTAAAGATGGGTGGTCGTTATAAGAATATATCCATAACTATAATTTATAGAGCAGTTTCATTTACGTGACACGTTTTGAATATCACAGCGCTGAGAGTAGCACAGCACTTACTACTTCTATTTATGGATGATCCCCTTTATGGCTGAGTCAAAGGCTCAGTGCAGGTAAATAACCTATCCGAGGTTGCACAGCCCTGGTAGGACAGACAGGGCTCCATCGGATGCTGACAATAGCCTAGCGTTCTTTTCTCTGTATCTGTAAAGACGAAATATACCACCAGACTGCCAGCATGAAAAAAAAAAGTCATCTTAAGAAATGTCATTTAGGGGCCAGCAGGTGGCGTGGTGGTTAAGGTGCTGGACTTCCACATGACAGCCGTGGTTCAAGTCCCTGACCTGGTGGCTTGCTTTCTCCCCCTTTCTGCCTCTCTCTCTTTGTCTCTCTGGTCAAGTGGTCAAATGTAATAATAATAATAAATGAAATAAATAAATATTTTTAAAAAAGAAATGTAATTTAAGGGGCTGCCAGATGACATGGTGATTGAGGTGCTGAACTATCACATGGTTGACCACAGCTTGAGTTCCAGACTTGACAACTTGCTTTCTCACTCTCCCTCTCTCTTTGTCTCTCTCTGGTCAAATTGAAGAATAATAATATTAAATACAATTAAGTAAATAATTATTTTAAAACTAAAGAAATAAAATTTTTATTAAGAAAAAATAAATGTTTGGGCCAGCAGCTGGCATAATGGTTATGTCTCTGGACTCTCATGTAGTCGACGGTGGTTCAAGTCCCAGACGCGGCAGCTTAAACTCAAGCCGGGCGCATGTGCGTGCTACAGGGCATGAGCGCTCACAAGAGAGAAAGAGAGGGAGAGAGAAGGAAGGTGAGAAAGCAAGCCACCAGGTTCGGAACTCAAAAAGCAGTCGGCCATGCGAGAGTCCAACACCTCAACCATCACGCCACCTGCTGGCCCTGATCCTGTCACTATTTTAAGTGACTTTTTTTTTTGGAGAGGTTTTTGCTATAGGGCATGTGTGCCCGCCAGAGAGACAGAGAGAAAGCGAGAAATCACCCCCCCAGGGGCGATGGCCACACCACAATCCCTTCTCCTTCATTCTCCTCTCGGGGCTTTGGGCAAAAATGTACACGCACCCTGTGTGAGTTTTAAGCGACTAGGTTTGGGACTTGAACTACAGTTGACTAAGTGGGAGTCCAGCGACGTAACCATTACACTATCTGCTGGTCCTAATAAATATTCTTTAGAAAAAATAGCATAGGATCAGTGACTTTCTGTTTCTCCCAATCCTGTCAAGTCCCCAGGGTTAAAGGGATGCCTTCTAGAATATAATGTCCGGATCATCAGTTGGCATGGTGGCTAAGGTCCTGGACACTCCCATGTAGTTGATCACGGTTCAAGTCTTGGACCTGGTGGCTTGCTTTCTCTCTTTTCTATGTCTCTCTCTCTCTCCCTATCTCTCTCTCTCATCAAATTGAGATAAATGAATAAATAAATAAAATTTAAGAAAAGAAAAAGAAGAATATAATGATGCCAGGCCAGCAGGTGGTGTGGTGGTTGGGGTGCTGGATTCCCACATGGCCAACTGCAGTTTGAGTCCCAGACCCAGTGGCTTGAAGATCAACAAATAAATAGATAAATAAATACATAAATGTTAAAAAAAAAAAAAAAGAAAAGAAAAAAAAGAAAAAAAAGCGGGAACCAGCAGTTAGCTTAATGGCTATGTTGCTGGACTCCCACGTAGTCGACCGCGGTTCGAGTCCCGGACCCGGTGGCTTAAAACTCACGCCAGGTGCGTGTGCATGTGTGCCCAAGATCCTGAGAGGAGAATGGAGGAGAAGGGATTGAGGTGTGGCCATCCCCCCTGGGGGGTGATTTCTCGCTTTCTGTCTCTATGTTTCTCTCTGTCTGGCTTGCCAAAGGCACCAACCCATAACCGAAACCCCCTCAAAAAAAAAAAAAAAAAAAAAAGAAAAAAGAAAGAAAAGAAAAGAAAGAAAGAAAAGAAAAAGGCGGGGGGATGGCAGATGGTGTAGTGGTTAAGGGTGCTGGATTCCCACATGACTGATAGCAGTTAGAGTCCCAGACCTGGCAACTTGCTTTCTCAGTTTCCCTCTCCCTCTGTGTGTGTGTGTCTCTTTCTCATTCTGTCCTTCTCTGGTCAAATTAAAAATAAGTAAATAAATAAAGTTAAATAATTTTTTTTAAAAAGGACCAGCAAGTGGCATGGTGGTTAAGGGTGCAGGCCTCCCATATGGCCAACCATGCATGAGTTTAAGCTACTGGGTCTGGGATTTGAACCATAATTGACTACATGGGAGTCCAGCCATTATGCCAACTGCTGGTCCCCAAATAATATTTTAAAATAATATTTAAAATAAAGTAAAATAACATTTAAAAATTAAATGTCATTCTCCTCTTGGTATCTTGGGCACGCATGTACACGCATTCACTCCTGGCATGAGTTTAAGCTACTGGGTCTGGGACTTGAACCATGATTGACTACATGGGAGTCCAGCCATTATGCCAACTGCTGGTCCCCAGATAATATTTTAAAATAATATTTATTTATTTATTTTTAATTTGACCAGAGAGGGACAGAGTGAGAGAGAGAGAAAGAAAGTGAGAAAGCAAGTAGCCAGATCTGGGACTCAAACTGTGATCAGCCATGTGCGAGTCCAGCACCCTTAACCACTACTCCACCTGCCAGCCCCAAAAGATAATTTTTAAAAAAAGAATATAATGAAGGCCAACAGGTGGCTTAGAGGTTAAGGCATTGGATCCCACATGACCAACTACATGGTTCAAGTCCTGGACCTGGTGGCTTAAAAATCATGCTGGGCACATACGCATGTGATCCAAAATCCAGAGAAGAGACTAGAGGAGAAAGAATTGTGGCATCGCCAGCCCCCTGTGGGGTAGTGATTTCTCACTTTCCTTTTTTCTCTCTGTCTGGTGAGTGTACACATCCTATAGGAAGAAGAAGAAGAAGGAGAAGAAGAAGGAGAAGAAGAAGGAGAAGAAGAAGGAGAAGAAGAAGGAGAAGAAGAAGGAGAAGAAGAAGGAGAAGAAGAAGGAGAAGAAGAAGGAGAAGAAGAAGGAGAAGAAGAAGGAGAAGAAGAAGGAGAAGAAGAAGGAGAAGAAGAAGAAGAAAGAGAGAATATAATGGAAATGAGTTTCATGGTAACTCAAGGTAAAGACTACAGGGAGGCACTTTGAATTCATTATTAAAGAACTTTCTAGTGAATTTGTGAGCTCTCTGTAATATGTTTACATACAGGCTGAAAATAATTGTCAAGGATACTATATAAAGATTTTTTTTCTTTCTTTTTTTTTTTTTGAGAGGTTTTTGCTATAGGGCACAAACCAGACAGACAGAGAGAGTAAGAGAGACAGAAAGCGAGAAATCACCCCCCAGGGGGAATGGTCATGCTGCAATCCCTTCTCCTCCAATCTCCTCTCGGGATCTTGGGCATGCACGCACACGCGCCCGACATGAGTTTTAAACCACTGGGTCCAGGACGCGAACTGCGGTCGACTATGTGGGAGTCCAGCTACATAGCCACTACGCTAATTGCTGGTCCCAAGGATACTATATAAAGATTTCATTGCGGGAACCGGCAGATGATGTGGTGGTTAAGGGCGCTAGACTCTCACATGGTCGCCCATGGTTTGAGTCCTGGACCTGGCAGCTTGCTTGCTCTCTCTCTCTCTCTTTCTCTTCCCTCTCTCTGTCCTTCTCTGGTCAAATTAAAATAAATAAATTGAATAAATAAAGTTCAATAAAATAATTCTAAAAAAAATAATAAAAATAATTTTTTGTGGGTTTCCACAGGAGGCCTATATGCCCCGCTTCTGCCGCTGCCATGTCTCTAGTGAGAAGTTCCAGCACGTTTTATAAGTATTCAATACCAACATCGATGGGCAGCAGAAAATAGCCTTTGCTATCACGGCCTTTAAGGTGTGGGGTGAAGAGCTGCTCACATGGTGTGGAGGAAAGCAGACAGTGACCTCACCAAGAGGGCAGGAGAGCTCACTGAGGAGGAGGTGGAACGTGTGATCACTACTATGCAGAATCCACACCAGTACAAGATCCCAGATGGTTCTTGAACAGGCAGAAAGATGTAAAGGACCGAAGATACAGCCAGGTCCTGGCCAGTGGTCTGGACAGCAACCTGCGTGAATACCTGGAGAGACTGAAGAAATTCAGGCCCACAGAGGGCTGTGCCATTTCTGGGGCCTTCTGATCTGAGGCCAGCACACTAAGACAACTGGCCTTCATGGCCATACCGTGGGTGTGTCCAAGAAGAAATAAGTCTATAAGCATTGTCTGTTAATAAATAGTTCATATACCTTTAAAAAAAATTCCTGGGACCAGCAAGTGGCGTGGTGGTTAAGGCGCTGGACACTCCCATATGGCCCACCATGGTTTGAGTCCCGGACCTGGTGGCTTGCTTTCTTGCTTCTCCTCTCTCTCTCTCTCTCTCTCTGTGTGTATCTCTCTCTCTCTGACAAATTAAGATAAATGAATGAATAAATAAAATTAAATGAAT